AGAACGGGGTGTGAGGCAGGGAAAGGTGCAGTGAGTCACCCCAAACCTCCCCAGGGGAGAACTCGGGGTGCTCTGAGGGACAATTCACAGCTCCAGCATTAGTGCAGAGAGGGACCTTCTCCAACCAGGGAATTCCTGGGAACATGAATTAGCTCAGCTGCCCAGAGCAGGAGCCACGAGGCAGCAGCAGCACGCTCCTCCAGCAGCCCTGCAGCTCCTGTGCTGCCCAGGGCAGGGACAAAGCCACAGCTCCAGGGAAGCGCCTGAAAACGCGTTCAGCGGCACATCCAGCAGCACTTCATCCAGAGGGAGCTCTGCTGGACCACAGGGCAGCAGGTACATCCCCACCTCCTTCAAAAGGGACTCAGAGATTGCTCACTGACAAAGCCAGCAGGCTCTGCAAGCACCTGCCATGCTCAGGTGCAGGGCAGCTCATCCCTGCAGCCAGGGGATGCCAGCCCAGCCCTGAAGCTGCTGCTGCTGTTATTGCCTCCCAGCAGGACACTTAATTCTGCCCAGGCAGGGGGACACTCCTGCTCTCACGTGATGTTTATTCTTAGAGAGGATCCCAGGGATTTTTCTTGAGCTGCTTCAGCCCCACAGCTGGCCCAGGGCCAGAGGAGCAGCACTGGACTCCTGGGCAGTGACCAGGGACAGCCCAGCGTGGCACAGACACACCACACATCTGCTGTGGCACCTGAGGCAAGCAAGGCCTGCTAACTGAGGAGAAATAAGTGCCCAGAAAGTTGTTGCTGCCACACAAAGTCCATGACAGAGTCAGTAAAAAAAGCAGATGACAGGCACAGAGCGAGGCCAAGCGACTGCTCACATCCAACAGCTGAGCCCAATTCCTCCCGGGTGAGGCCAAAGAACAAATTCTACATTGGAGCCTTTCTGCTGTCCTGACCTGCTTTTAATGACAAAATTCCTGCTGACTGAGAGATCAACCAACATTAGCTCCCAGTGACCAAGCACATCCAGCACAACCTCACTTGGGCAAAACTCTCAAAACCGCCTGCGAAGTTCAGCCTGTGAGACTCAGGTCGGTGAAGGCTCCAGTTTTTTGAGTTTTTCTTCTAGGAAATGAGCTCAAATGTTGCAAGGAGAAGAATGCAGTCTTAGTTCAAGTAGAACAGCGCCTGTGTGGCTTATCTAGTTAAAAAATGGGATGTGCTGGTAGGCAGGAGCTTGGGGAAATGCCAAGAGGAGCCACAGCACGAGGCCTTGTGTGAGTTCTCGGTCTCAAGGGGAGAATTGTCTCTCCCTGAAATCTGATGAGGTGGCAGCAGGGGCAAGAACAGTCCTTTCTGAATGAATTAATGCAGAAGAGCAGCTCCCCCCTTCCCAAGTGCATGCAGGAAGGCAGGGGGAGGAAGGGAGGAGCTGCTGCAGCCCAACCACCATTGTATTTACATTTCCGTGCTCCTGATAACAAACACATTCAAGGGTGCCTGGAAAACAAGGCTTTGGTTAGAAAACAAAAGCTGAGATTTCATGAAAGAAAGAGCAATAAAGATATTCCAGGTGTCCCTGCAGCATTATCAGGCATGGTGTGGTGGTTTCCTTAGAGAATAATTCACTTTCTTATCCCAGGGGTGGCTGCAGTGTCCAGGGCCACACTGAGGTGCCCTTGGACACAGCAACTCCCTTCCAAAAGGGGAAAAAGAAGGGAATAAATAAAGAACTATTCAGTGTAGAACTGAAAATAAAACTCTTTTGATTTTAGTTCACATCACTTTAGGAAAGTAAAACCTTAAGTGGTAAAGTGACTCAGAATCCTCAAATCCCAGACTGGTTTGGGTTGGAGGGACCCGAAATTCCACCCAGTGCCACCCCTGCCATGGCAGGGACACCTCCCACTGTCCCAGGCTGCTCCAGCCCTGTCCAGCCTGGCCTGGGCACTGCCAGGAATCCAGGGGCAGCCACAGCTGCTCTGACACCTGTGCCAGGGCCTCACATCCCATAAAACTGACCCTAAAGATGTGGGTTTCTGGGTGCTTCTTCCCAGTTAAGAGCTATTACACAACAAAATATAAATTTATCCAGCAGGTAACGTTTTCAGAAGTGTTTTCTCCCCACCTGGACAAGTGGAACCAACACAAGAACCAAGTGAAGATCCAGGTGCCACCACCATGACCAAACATTCCCCTGGGCTCGGCTGGAAGAGCTCCCAACGGAGTGAGCAGGAGGAACTGGGGGATTCCTGAGGGACAGTCTGAGATAAGAGGTTTGTAAAGAACCCAAGACATTCTCAGCCAGGTGAATCCAGGCAGGAGCAGCCCAGCTCTCCCAGCTTCCCAAGTAAGTGGGGGAGGAAGCTGTTGCTCTTCATCCTCACAGTCAATGAGCCCGGGTGAAACATTCCCAGATAAATCAGTGCAGGAAGCACTTCAGCTGCTCAGTGCAGCCTGTGGGAAATACCTGCTGGCTCTGCACCTCCTGAAAGCTGGAACTGTGGAGCCAGGGATGGAGGAATCCTGCCACAACTCCCCGTGTGCACAATGCAGAAATGCAAGGAGGGAAATCCTGATGGCAAAGTCACCTCCCCGGACAAGCAGGGAGGTACAACACGACCTGCCAGAGTTCAGGGGTGCCTGGAGAGCACTCTCAGGCATGGCATTCAGTTCTAGGTGCTCCTGTGAAGAGCAGACAATTGGATTCGATGATCCCTAGGGGTCTCTTCCAACTGGAGATATTCCATGAAGTCCAAACCCAGCCCACACATCCCAGGAGCCTGGCAGACCTTCAGACCACACTGGGCCAAGCCAAGAGAGGTAGAAAAGAGGAAAAATAAAACCCACTCAAGACTGGCAGGTGCAGGGAGGAGAACACCAAGCTCTCCCATTCCTCTGTCACCTTCCCTGTCAGGTGGTGACACCCTGTGACCCCTGCAGGTCCACTCAGGCCACGGGGACAAGCACATGGGGACAAGCTCTGAGCACAGCCCCCCCTCCAGCCCACCCAGGGGAGATAAGCCATCTTCCTTGGCTTCTCTTCAAGTGGCTTTGAGACAACAGCTTAAGATGGTTTGGCTGGTGGCCACAGCCCTGGGAGCAACAGCAGGAGCTGGGAATGCCCCAGGGAGCCTGGGCACAGCCCCTGCAGCACTGGGAGCACCTTCCAACCTTCCAG